ATCTTAATATACATACATATCGTCGTTTAAAGTACAAAACCGCAACAAAATGCAAAACCGCGTATCAAGATAATGCAAAACAGCGTATGTGACGTTGCATAAATTATTTTCTAGAGAGTAAAAACACTTATATTTCAAAATGGTTCTCTTTTTTATAAATCAATCGCATTTCTGGCTAGTATATTTCAGGACGAAGCCAAGACCTTGTGTGAGCAAATCCAATTTTTGGCAGCAAATGTCAGTTACGCGGTTTTGCAGAATGACGATACGCGGTTTTGTACTTTAAACGACGATATATGTAAAGTAAATTATACTCTTTCTGTAGTAATCTCTTTCATATCACATATTTTCATTTGTTAATTTAAAAAGAAAGAAGATTTCAATGTAGTTTAAAAAACTAAATTTGATTTATTTAAGGAAACTTTTATGAATTTTACTGAAAAGACTTTAAATACACTCTAAAAAATTTTGTTTATTTGCGCATATTGAGAGAGGTAACCGGTTTCTTCTTTTAATGTATGCAAATGTACAAGCCGTGTAATAAAATTAATCATTGCCTGTTTACTTTTACACATAAAATGTTTAAAATAAAGTAATGTTTATTATTAGTAGGAAATGTATTTGTAGTTTGAAAATTTTTGCAATTTTAATCATTCTACATATGTGTATTTATGTGTATATTTTAAAGATCTCAAGTTCAAAATCAAATACTGGACATCCTATACGTATATTTATACAGATTCTTGTTGAGAAATATATACTTTTCAGTAGTAGTTTTACATGCTCTTTTTAGAGTGTACTTGCCATTTATTATATTTACTCTGCAAAATACTTATGCACAAAAAATGTACTTTATAAATTGAAATTACAAATGTTTGATTTTATGCACATGTATTCCAAGTCCTTAGCATGGATTAAATTATGTCTTTTTCATGAAAATGTTTGGTTTTCTTACAGGTTATGAGATGTATATGTAAAAAAAGAAAATTGGATACATTTTTGGCTTGGTCAGGGATACATTTTCTGGAGACGGCGCGTCAACACTGCTAGTGACTTTTACTTTTACATTTCTATATGAAACTGCATTTTAAACAAATGCTACTATAAACAAATAATTTTTAAGCAAAAAAACAAAACCGACTTTAATTCTCATATACAAATTTAAGATTATTGGTTATCTCTTCATGATCCAATGATCGGATTTAAACCAAATTGTAATGCGACCGCCTGTGAGGTAACACCTTTCCTCCAAAAAAAGAATTATAGTAATCGGTTAACGTGGTCCAAAGTTATGCGGTGACATACATAAAAAAATATGTACTAATAAAAAAATATTCCGACGAATTGATAACCTTCTCCTTTTTCTGAAGTCAGCGTTAAATGATTTCAGGGTAAAATTGTCAAAGCTCCCAATGAACTTAAAGGAAATAATGAAATCATCAAAATAATTTCAGTCCTCACATTAAAGCTAAAGGAGCTAAAGTTTGTATTGTGCTTTCGTGTTTTGGTAGACATTTGAAGAGTAGGTGAATAAAGTTTGGTATAGAAAACACCTTATGTCTAGTATAAAATAACTTAAATTACATTTTTTCTCTCTCGCTTAATTTAGGAAATAATTTCTTCGAAATATTTACCTAACCCAAATAAAAAATTGTGCAAATATTACTGCATACTTAGATTTACTTGTAAAATATTATGCTATGATATATTCATTGCTTCTAGTAAATAATCAACACATTTTCTACGCAGCAACACAATTTGTTCAGATCTATACATGTGTATGTATGTATGTTTATACATGAAAGGAATAAGGTCACATTTACCATTTTTCTAAGAAAAAGATTCTAGGCTTAATGAAATAAAAAATACATATAAACGGGGACACGCTAGTTTACAAGTACAAGTTTTTATGCCGACAGAGTTTTTTGACGTTATCTTGGAAAACAAAATCCACCTCAGACATATCTGAAATATAGTTGTAATTACAATACGTAACCAAGTAAAATTTGATAATTTCAATGCGTTTTTGTACACTGTAAGTACCCTGTAGGGAAACGAACTAGTGCGGAACTGGTTCGGTTCTAGTGCGTTTGGAACCATGACTAGTGCGCGTTAATTCTCTTTTGCATGCTAGCGACTGGCGAAGTTAACATTGCGATGTCCTAGGAAGTGTCAATTGTCCCCCGTTGCATTCCTTTGGCTCTAGTTCCGACCAGTTCCAAATTCGACAGATGAGATCTAGTTCGTTTTGCATCCCTTTTTCTATAGTTCCCAACCAGTTCCAAATTCGACAGATGAGATCTAGTTCGATCTGCATAAATTTTTTATATGTAGTTCCCAACCTGTTATAAATTCGTCACCTTAGATGTACATTTCTAATCAGGCTTGTCGAAACATTTCCCTTCTATATTAAATACGATCGGTTGAAGGAAGGACAATACAATCACAAATGTTTAAACGCATTTATTAAAAATTTATAAACCACATTAGTAGTAGTAGTAGTATTAAACTTAAGTAGTAAGTAAAAAACAAAAGTGCGTTCTGCTTAAAAGTAAAAATATTAGTTCACTTTGTCTTACTTGACTAAATTTAAGCATATTGATTTTTAAGTAAATTCAGTTCTTTTTAAGCTTATATGTATATGAAGTACTTCGAAAGTTTTTGTCGTACATAACTTAAATAAGATATACAGTCAGTCAATAAAGTTTAGGTACAGTGAAGTTTTTACAATACCGGCAACTATTTTTTAAATATTTTATTTTTCCCTAATTTTTTATAAAAATATGGTTAAAACCCCAAAAAGCAGAGTTCCAAACCTTATGTAAAATTTAAGAAAACTCTGCGAATTTCCATCCAAGTATTGCAATTTACACTCTTTAGAAAAAAGTTAAGTCTCAGTTATTAGCCGATTCAATTTTAGTATAACAAAGTGCAAGTTTGAGGTAGCTAGGACTTACCATTGATATTTATCATTTATTTTTTTTTTTGGCAAGTCCTAGCTTCCTCACACTCGCACTTCTGATTTGCTTGACCTTGGTTTGACGGTCCAAACAGGAATCTTTATTTACGGTTGATGGATAGCTCGTTTCCAATGGATGGTGGCAAGAAAGTGGCTGACTTACGTGTAACGATTTTGTATTATCGGCTTATGGTGACTCAATTGCTGTCAAATGAATAGTCCCGATTCGATGCTCACAACTTCTTTATTCTACGCAACAACATGGCTGGGGATTTGCCGGAAGGAATGTGACGGCACCTTTTGTCTCTATTAATTTCCACTGAGGGGTGAGTATCGACTCGCCGAATGCCGCCCGCTTTTAATACCAGCTTTTAATCCACTTTAATTACTTGGTTGTAATTCCGTTCTTGCGAGGGCTGATTAGTGTGGTTCGCTACGTGTTCAATTCCAAACAGAAATATATTTTTCTAGTCTGGTGGTATGTTTTATCGTATGTCAGTGTGGGCGTTTTCATAGTGGCCATGTCAATTCGTGTCTATACTGATATAATCGTTCGTGTCTTGAATAACTATTGGTTACGTACATTCATCTGGCAATCCCCCCCATTTTGAAGTTTAGCTTTGACAGTTTTGTTATGTTTATTATTCTCTATATTTCTCTATTATTTGGCCAATAAAAATAATAGATCACTTCATTATACTAAAATGGAATAGGCTAAAAAACTTTTTCTAGAGAGCGTAAATAGAAAGTGAATTATTTTAATGAAATTTTGCAGAATTTTCTTAAATTTTGCACAAGGTTTGGAATTCTGATTTTCGGGGATTTTGTTGTAGAATTGACCATATTTTTATAAAAAATTACCGAAAACTAAAATATTTAAAAAATAGTTGCCCGTATTGTAAAAAATTCGTTGTACCTAAACTTTATTGACTGACTGTATTAAGGTAGCTGTGCTGGACTGCATAAAAAAAAAATTTATTTGTCTTTTCTTAAAAAAAAGGTAGCTGTGGTGGCTTGTATTTTTAAATAAATTTAGTGAGAAAGTGATAATTATTTTGACATTTTTTTTTTAAATGCCTCTTTTTCTGCAACTGCATTGCCTTTCTCAATTGTCCTTCAGGATCTTGGCCTTTGTTTATGGAATCACTAAGTATAATGATTATTAAGCAACTCAAAAACTATACCAGCGTGATTACCGACGTATCCTTTTGAGAGGTAGCCGCACCCTTATAAGAGGAATAAGACCCAAACTTTTAAGGTCAAAATTTCAGTAGGTTGCGTATGTATGGCCTTTTCAATTTTATAAATTATCATTATTTTTAAGTGGAATAATAAAACTCAAAATTAATGATAATCTCTGCGCGAAAAAATAAAAATCATAAAATAATCATTATTTGTAATCCCAAAAATAAAAATCAAATAATAATTATTTCCGTTTGAGCGAAAAAATAAAACTCAATAATAATTCATAAAATAATGATTAAATGCTGATTTAAATTAT